GGGGGGAGGCGAGCTCTTATGTCGAGTGACGGGCGGGGCCTCTCGCGCGCTGCGCTGTCTCGGCTGGTGAGCCCCAGGCAGTCGTTTTGTCGGCCGCGTCCCCGCTCGGCACTCACCCGGGAAGGCTTCAGCAGGTTTAGCTCGCCTCATCCTCAGCAGTACAGTAGCCACAGAATACCGCGGCTGCTGGCGCCCCAAGTGCACCCAGCTGGGCGCTGTGGGCGGCGGCCAGGCGCCGCGCCCTCGCCGGCTGCGACGAGGCCCTGGAGCTGCCAAACGGTTGGTTGCGCATACGTCGGAATGTAGATGCCCGCAAGAACGTAGGAACCATACCTGTGCAATTGCAGATCGAGGGGGAAGTGTATGGGGTGGGTGGGCGCCGGTTTGGCAGACAGCGGGGTGGGAGGCCGTGCGAGCGCTTGGGTGGTAGGCCCACCCTTTGTGGCGCGGCTGCACTGGCCATGCTCGGATGCCACTAGTGATATACGGCACCGCTTCCCGCATGAGCCCTCTGCGGACTCATTTGTTATGGGAGTGATGCATTGGGTTTGGCAGGTCGGCGCACCCTTCCCACACCGTTGTTCGCCGCGTGGCACGGCCCCGCGCCACGGCCACGGCGCAGCGGTGCCCATGACAGCTTAGCTACGCATATTTTGATGCGCGTCACCTGCTGCTCACCGGATAGGCAGCTCAGCGACACCAGTCCTTTTGAGCGGCCATCGAACCTCCGGGAGTGCAGCGCCTGCGCGCGCTATATGTATAAAAGCTCAACAGCAAATCATGAACGAAAATTTTGATGAACTAATGCGATGATGATCCGTGCTATCAGTGGAGTTTTTGAGCTATCGCCCTTCCTCCTGCTCCCGGAACCCGCGCATCAGGGGCCTAATCTCCGGCATCAACCTCGCACGCATTTGTGGAAGACTCGTGCAGATCTAATAATAACCTGCGGCATACTGCGAGCGTGGGGGCCCCGTGCGCCGCCGACGGTACGCGCTGCCTGTCCGTCCTGCTAATGTGGCCGGCGCGCCCACTACGATTACCCTGGGAGCCTTTCACACGGCTGCGCCCCGCCAGCCCGGCGGTCCTCCTTGTCGGCCTTGGACAACGCTGCGCGCGCGGAGCAACACACGGATCCAGCAGACGCAACGCCCCACACAGCTACAAATCGCCTGCGTTGGCGTGTTCAGGCCGCTGCAGTTCCCATTGAATTTCATAGTTGGTCGCTCCATGGCGGCGCAATGTCCCAGACCAAGAACCCCGGCACGGCCGGTGCACGCGCACAGTAGGGCGTTCCTTTGCCAAGCCCACAGCTGCGTGAAGAAAAGAACTTGGCCGAGCAGCGCGGGCTCTAGGTGGGATCAACCAAGGGAGAGGCGGAGTCGAGCAAGAAAATACAGAGTCCCGCGTCACCGGTGCAAAGGGAGCACGCGCGGCGCAGCCCAACAGTGCGACCAACATCGCGGCCGTTTGCCGAGGCCGCATGAAGCCACACTGGCGATCCCGGGCGGGATAGCTTGTTATACTGGCGTATGTCTGTCCGGCTTTCCACAACACTCCAGGGTCTGGTCGCAGCGCGAGTCAGCCACTGGAGCCGCGGGCGCGTTCCTGGCCAACGGCTTTTCGCGCCGACCCACCCGGGTGCGTCCCCACCCCGCGGGCCTGTCTGAGGCGGCTGCATTCTCCCAACTCTGGATCAGGAACTTATGAGAGGCAGGGTCACATTACTCTTTCACGGCACACGCGCAGGCGAGTGCGCGGCCGCCATTCGCCACCCAGAGCGGGTGCCCCCGAGCGTGCGCATGCGAGCGTGCGCGCCCTGCCGACTCCGCGCCATAGCGCTGCCCTGAAAGCAGCGCGCCGACGACGCCGCGAGGGGGCCGACGGCATGTCGAGCGTCGGGCGCCGCGGCTCGTGTCGGCGCGGCAGCGGCTCGGATCGAAAGGCGAGAGGGCAATCGGACGGTGCAAAAACGGGCCGACGCCACGGCAGACTATGTCGTAGGCGCGCCGAGCTGGCCCGGGCGGTGACTAATCGGCCCCACAGCCGCAAGGAAGCTCGGAACACTGTACAGTACGGGCATCTGTGGTTCGAAGGCGACCGCGCACGCCCGTCGAAGCGAGCGTGTGCAGAGGCCTCCAGCGCGCCCCGTCCCATGGCGCTGCGAAGGGGGGAGGCACGCGGGTTTCGCGCAGGCCGTGCCGGCAGACAGGGGCGCGGGGCGAGGCCGAGCGCGTGGGTTGGGTTGGTGTTCGGATGACACCAGAAGCACGTCGCAGAGTGCAGTACAGAGGGATCCACGGGTGGTGCAGTGGGCCGCGGCGCGGTGACCTACAAAAAAACGGCGGGGGCAGAGGCTGCCGCGCGGGCAGGGCCGTGCGGCCGAGCCGGGGCGGCGGGCGCTCGAGTGCTGAGAATCGATGGCGCCGGCGCGCGGGGGGTGCGGCAAAGGCGAAGGGAAGAGACCCAAAACCCCTAGCATGTGGCGTGCACGTGCGGCACGCATGCTGATTCTAGCGGACACGGTTTCGGTGTGCAGTGCTGTGGTGGTGTCGGCGTCGCTCCAAGTGCATGGGCCGGGGCCGCGTCAGGCCGGGGCCGCCCAAAAGCACACACAAAAAGGTGGGGCCGTCACGCGTGCGGGCATCTCGGCGGCCGCGGAGTGTAGTGTGTCGCTGCAGCGCTCAGGTGCGGTGGTGTGGTGTGTTGTTTGCGTGCGTGCGAGCAATGCGGGGACTTCTTCGGGTCACGTCGTCCAGAAACATGAGATGTGTTCAGTAATAATGCCAGGTCACCCTATACGCCGGGTCAATGCGTCATAGTGACAGCACGCGCCGTCAAACCGGGCGGAGCGCACGCGCGCACACGCGTGAGCCGGGAGTCTCGCATGAAAACGGGCGGGGTCTCGCCCAATAAAGCCCGTAAAACCGTTAGAGGGCCCTGGGTGGTGTTCGAAGGCGGGGATAGCGGTGGGGTGACAAGGGGGAGGGTCAGGTGCGGGTCCCTCAACCCAGAGCTTGGAGAGCGGTGCTACTTGCACGCGCGCCGCGCAGCTTGGTGCGCGTGCAGCAAGCGGGACGGGCGCAGGTCACTCCACTGCGTGCATGTGCGCAGGCGCGCCGCTGCATGCGTGTGGGCCAGTGCGAGCAGCCAGTGTTGCGTGGGATGGCAGTCTTGGGAGTGCGGTGGGGATGCGAAAAGCCTCGTTGCGGCGCTCTCCTCAGACCCGTCGCGCTGGGGCTGGCAGAAAAAAGATCAACCCCTGCCCTGACCGGCCCACGCGGCCTGGCGGCGGGGGCCGGATGCGACTACAGGAGGGCCGAGGCCGCAGGGGCGGTTAGCTCAAAGCAGCAGAAGTGCTAGCTTCGTCCCCAATCCCCGTAAGAAAAGGGGGCAGGGGGCAGTCCAAGGTCGCTTCTCTCCTACATGGGATGCAACCTCAACTGGCGCACCTCTCGCCGATCCTCGAGGGTCCCGACAGACCGCAAAGGGGCCAAAGGTGCGGGCCGCGGCGCGCAGGGCGGGGCCAGGGCAGCGCACTCTAGGGTGGAGGGGTTTGCAACGTTAAAAAACTGCCGCACGGTCGGCCGGGTCGACGGTGCGTGGGAGACAGGTTTGCGACAAGAACGGGCGCGCGGCCGACAACGAAACAGCGTGCCATCGGGGTACAGGGGCGGCCGGGCATGCCGGCCGTTGAAAAAGGAGTGCGCCCAAAAGGGGCGGCAGCTTCCCGAAAAACGCAGCCGTCATCATCATCACGCGCAGGCGCGCAGCGGCGCCGCCGCGCCGCGGGGCGCGGCACTAGACCGAGCAGCCGCGGCGCCTCCGGCCCCGCCGGCCCGCAGGGGTCGCGCGGGGCGGCGCGCGCTGCGCCAAGCGCGGGCCCTCCTATGTTCGCTCCCACAGAAAGTGTTCTTCGGTCCCGACGCCCGCGGGACCGCATGGCTGGGGCCCGGGCCCTTAGCCAGGCCGCCGTGCAGCGTGGCATCAGCGGCTGCGCGGGGCGCGCGGCCCCGCGCTGCACGGCGGGTGGCCGCACGCCCCCGCGCCGCGGGTCGCTCCCAAGTTGCAATCCCGGCCGAAACAAGTTCCCTGCCGCTCTCCGACTCTGGTCCTCTGAGACTGGTGTTCAAAGGCGCGATCGCCGCGCTTGCAACTCACGATCGCCGCCGGCGCGGGCTCGTCCCTCACGCCTGGCGCCCCGCAGACAGGATCTCAGCCGCAATCTCCGCCCTCTCGGCGCCCGCCTGCTCGACTTCCAGCGTCGCGAGCTTCACCCGCTCCTCCAGGTCCGACAGCTGCTTGCACAGGCCCCCGGGAATCTCGATCTCGCTCCCGGCTGGAAGCTGTACGGGCGCATCGCCCGCGCCGGCGG